GCCTTTCAAGCAGATGATAATAATTAAGTGAACATTAAAAACTTGACCTATTCAAGAAAATGCAGGCAGTCCAGGCATTCTGCCCGTGGCTGGGACGGATGACGGAGAAGGGTCGCCCGCTGCTGGTTCACACTCAGGCCAGCGGGGAGGGCTCCCTGGGCCTCTGTGGTCCGAGGAGTGGGAACACACACCTCCATACTCAGAGATGAGTTACTCTGCAAACTGCTTTTAGTACCAGCATAAATGAGAGTACTCACCGGGCATGCTGAATGTTGATACAGGATTCATCGATAGCTCCTCAGAATGGAAATCGGCAGGCCAAGAATAAGTGCCCTCTGTGGGACTGAACGGGCCTGACTCACCCACGAGCCTGAGAATTTCCCCAGATCTAGGTTGCAGGCTTGCCCGATTCAGAAATATCCCTGGCCAGGATTTTGCTATTGTTTTTAAGATTTATTTATTTTGAAAGTTGGAGTTAGAGAAGGAGAGACACAGAGAGGTCTTGCATCCATTGGTTCACTCCTCCAAATGGCCTCAACAGCTAGTCTGGGCCAGGCTGAAGCCAGGAGCTTCTATCAGGTCTCCATGTCGGTGACAGGGCCCAAATACGTGGGACATCTTCTGCTGCTTTTCCCAGGCCATTAGCAGGGAGCTGGATCAGAAGTGGAGCAGCCAGGGCCAGCACTGTGGTGTAGAGGGTAAAAGCCACTGCCTGCAGTGCTGGCATCCCATATGGGTGCCAATTCAAGTCCCGGCTGCTCCACTTCTGATCCAGCTCTATGCTATGGCCTGGGAAAGCAGTGGAGGATGGCCCATGTGTTTGGGCCCCTGTCTCCAACATGGGAAACCACGAAAAAGCTCCAGGCTTCAGATCAGCTCAGCTCTCGCTGTTGTGGCCATTTGGGGAGTGAACCAGAGGATGGAAGACCTCTCTGTCTCTGTCTGTCTGTCTGTCTCTCCCTCTGCCTTTCTGTAACTCTGCCCTTCAAATACATAAATAAATCTTAAAAAAAAAAAAAAAAAAAGAGGAGGACAAAGAAGAAAAAGAAGAGCAGCTGGGATGCAAACCGGAGCCCCTGTGGGATGCAGGGGATGCAGGGGTCGCAGGCAGCAAGCAGCTTCAGCAGCTACGACACAATGGCGCCTCCCCCAGCTATGTTTTGCCACACTGAGGTTGGCGCTCACTTGGACATGCCTGCTTGTCATATTGGAGTGCTTGGATTCTATTCTTTCTCCAACTCCTGCCTCCAGCTTCCTGTCAATGCAGCCCACAGGAGGCAGCGGTCAGCTCAAATGACAGTTCCGGCCACCCACCCGGGAGACCCAGGTTGAGTCTCGGCCCGTGGCTCTGGTCCCAGCCTAGCCCTGGCCTTGTGGGCAGTGGGGGTGTGAACCAACAGACTGGCGCTCTCTCTGCTTCTCAATTTTTTTTTTAAAGATTTATTTTATTTATTTGAAAGGCAGAGTGAGAGAGGAGAAACAGAAAGAGATCTTCCATCTGCTAGTTTATTCCCCAAATTACTGCAATGGCTGGGGCTGGTCCAGGCTGAATCCAGGAATTGGGAACTCTGGGTCTCCTACATGGGTGGCAGGGGCCCAAACACTTGGGCCATTTTCCATTGCTATCCCAGACACATGAGCAGGGAGCTGTATTGGAAGCAAAGCAGCAAGGGACTCTTATACAGGACGATGGTGTTGCAGGCGGCAGCTTACCCTGCTACACCACAGTGCCAGCCCCTCAAGTAACTTTTTTTTTTTTTGGACAGGCAGAGTTAGACAGTGAGAGAGAGACAGAGAGAAAGGTCTTCCTTTCGTTGGTTCACCCCCCCAAATGGCTGCTATGGCCGGCACTGTGCCGATCAGAAGCCAGGAGCCAGGTGCTTCTCCTGGTCTCCCACATGGGTACAGGGCCCAAGCACTTGGGCCATCCTCCACATGGGTACAGGGCCCAAGCACTTGGGCCATCCTCCACTGCACTCCTGGGCCATAGCAGAGAGCTGGCCTGGAAGAGGGGCAACCAGGACAGAATTTGGCACCCCAACTGGGACTAGAACCCGGGGTGCCGGCACCGCAGGCAGAGGATTAGCCTAGTGAGCCGAAGCACCGGCCTCAAGTAACATTTTAAAATACAAAGCCCAGCCTGATGTCAGACTCTTTGTTTTTGCAAATGAGGTAGATGTGCCTCCTTCCTGAACCAAGCAGACAAGCCCCTCCCCATCCAGAGGTGGGAAGGATTCCTGCACTCACCCCACCATACTCACTGGCTTCCCATTCTGTGTGTGGCACTGTGATGGGTGGGTTTGCGGGGCAGAAGGGAGAGGAAGGAGAAAAAAGAGAGTTCTTGCCTTTTGGGGCCTTACAAATTCCTAGAAGAAACGGAATCACAGAAATAGAAACAGGATGGGCGAGGACAAAAAGCCAGCAGGAAAGGAGAACTCAGATGTTCCAGGGGAGGGGACCTGCAGTAGAGGTGACAGAGGGGCTCCCACATGGTGCAACCGGGGACAGGACGGTGACTGGGGCTGAGGATGGCTTCAGGGCGAGGGCCGGCAGAGGTGAGCACTCACAGGACACCAGGATTTTATCCACAGAGACAAGGCCAGGCCATTCTAACCCCAAGACTCAGGCACAACATTCCTAACACAGTTACCTTCAGGAACCAGCAAGGTCTGCTCTCAACGGAACAAGGGCACTAAGGAGGGGCCAGGCTGCAGGGGGGTCTGGGCCAGGTTGCAAAGGGCCAGGGCTTCCAACCTTCTGCTTCTCATCCCCAGTCTCTCTCTCTCTGCTTCTCATCCCCAGTCTGTCTCTCTCTCTCTCTCTCTCTGCTTTTCAAATATTTTTTAAATGTAAAAAGAACAAAAGGCAGAAGTCAGAGGTCTGACAAAGCCACTCACTTCCGTGGAGAGAAAGGGCACGGAGCCCCGGCATGGGCCGGGGCAGGGGGCAGGGCTGCCGTCGCCCGGGATGCCTGCAGAGACCCGGCTGCTCTGTGACTGCCCCAGCGAGACAGCGATCCCTCAGCTCCTGACAGAAGATCCCGGAGTTTACGGCAAACCTGTCACATCCATCAGGAGACAAGTCATCCAAGTTATGAAACAGGATGTGAAGTGTCTAGTGTTTTTTTTTTTTTAATAGGAAGAATAAAATTATTTCTCAAGCCCAAAGAAAATCACTTTGCTTCAAATAAACCTTAGGCTCTACCAAACCCGCATGGAAGGCAACAGGCCTGAGTCTGAATCCTGGTTCCACACTGAACCTCCGCTTCCTGTCTGTAACATGAGCATCCCACCTGGGACTTCCGGTTCCTGGCAGTGGCCACAGCCTCTGCCCCGGTCACCTGCCCTCTCCTCTTTATGTCCCTGTCCTGTCTCCTAAACCTTTCAGACCACCCAGCCCAAAGCGCTCTGCTTTGTCCTTGTCCTCACCTGCGCCCCTCCCTCGCACACACACCAGGAAGGCCGTGCAGCGCTGTCCATGTGGTGACATGCTCACACATGGTGCCTGTGTCCTTGCACGCCGCAGTCTGAATGGTGCTCCGGATCCTGCAAGCTTCCTCTAACTTCACTGGCAAAGATAACCCCCTGTTTCCCCAGGGAGTGACGCTGACCAAAGTCTTGCCTATGATCTGCCAGGCCCACAGAAAGAGCTGGGGAAACGCTAGCCACTCACAGTGTTAGCTCCTTCTCACGTGTCCAGTTCCTCCTCGGTGCCTGCTGGCCCTGCCTCGGCCTGCCCCCATCCCTGCACAGCCATGACAGGCGGCTCCTTGGCTGCCCTCCACTCTCTGGCCTCTCCCCCCCTGCATCAAACCAACACCCTGTTGCCAGACTCAGCTTCCTCCCATGCCCCCTGGGCCCTCGCTCAAGAACCAACTGCATTTGGTCCCAGCTGCCACCCATCCTTCCCCAAACGACTTCCTCAAAGCACACTTGCCACTCCAGCGGCCAGACCCCCCACCCCACCCCACCCCTGTCACCCAGGAAAAGCCACACAGCTCCTCTAGGGAAGTGCACCAGCCCCCACCTGTGCCTTTCCAAGGCCACTCCACCCGGCATCCTCCATGCACCTCTCCCCTCCTCTCCTCGGTCCCTGCTGTGACCTCCAGTTTACAACTGACGACCACGGTGGAGAGGCAGGAGTTAAGTGGCAACCCAGGAACTCAGCAGGAACCCGGGAGACCCACGCGGTAAAGAGCTCAAGTTGGAATTATTTTTTTAAGAATTATTTTTTTAAGAGCCCAGGATGGCCTTATAACCCAGCAAGTCCCTAGTTATTAGCTATTTTGTTTGGTCATTGGTTTCATAGTCACTTTGAAAAAAAAATCAGATTTTTTTAAATTGCTGGAATTTTTTGTTTTTTAAACACTTATTTATTTGAGAGGCAGAGTGACAGCGAGAGTGAAAGAGAGAGATTTTCATTCTCTGGTTCACACACCAAATTCCTACAACAGCTGGGGCGGGGCCAGGCGCAGTACAGAACTCCGCGCAGGAGTCCCATGTGGGGCAGGGACTCGAATACTTGCCATCCTCCGTACTTCCCAGGCGCGTTACTGAGGAGCTGGATTGCAAGCAGAGCAGCTGGGACTGAAACCACCACTCTGGAGGGGACGAAGCGGCCCAAGCAGTGGCCTAGCCCGCTGGGCCACGGTGCCGGCCCTGCTGGAAGCATCCTGGTGTTCACTGCCGAGCCCAGTGAAGTGCCAAGGGCTGGTCTGTAGGTCTTCAGCTTCCCTCCCCATAGCCTCCATCGACTCCCCAGTCACAGCAAATAAACACTCAAGCAAAATCTGTGCTCGCTTTGCTCCAAGAACAGCGCCCTATGCCCTACCTGGACCGAAGTTCTGGAGCCACCACTGCACGGGATAGGGCATGAGAGGGTGATGAACGTGCTGAACTGCCTTTGGACAGGGTGCACCCTGTCCTGGCCTCCTCCTTGTCCTCCTCCCTAAACAGCACACCCCTCCACCTGCCCTCTGCCAACGACCTTCTGCATCTCACCTCGGTCCCGCAGGGTCTGGGTCAAGTCTTCCACCAGGGCCACGGCCTCCTCGCCGTTCTCGGGCCGATGCTCTCGCAGCCAGGCCTGAATCTCCCGCGGCAGCACAGTCAACATCTGCTCCTTGGTGTGCACCTCTGGCCTCAGCCAGCGCCGACACAGCTCTCGGAGGCGGCCGAGCGCGCCCTGCGGCCCCCCGGCCGCTGCCTCCTCCTGGGGGCTGCCCTTGCCCTGCGCGAGGGGCTCAGGCTCAGGGCCCTCCTCCTGCAGCACAGCTTCCTGCACCCAGGCGTCGTCCTCCAGCATCATGGTGGTGACCTCCGCCTCCTCCTGCTCGTCCTCCTCTTGGGGCACCTGGCCCACGGGGCTCAGGGGAGCGGTCACGCTCGGCACCTCCGCAGCCATCATCCACGCGCCGGGGGCTTCGAGGCTTCTCCAGCCACACTCTCTGAGAAGACACGGCCCTCCCCAACTCTCCACAGGCAGGCAGACCTGCTGAGAAACAAGACAGGACAGGAACCAGTAAGCAGACTGTCCCCGAGTGATCTGACTCACGGCAGCCCAGCTCCGCCCACCAAGACATCCTGAGACACAGTCCGTGCCCTGGCTGCTCCACTTCCAGTCCAGCTCCCTGCTAGTGCACCTGGGAAAGCAGCGAAGGTCGGCCCAAGTGCTTGGGCCCCTGCCACCCACGTGGGACACCCGGATGGAGTTCCAGGCTCCTGGTTTTGGTCTGCTCTCCCTGGCCGTTGCAGCCATTGGGGGAGTGAACCAGCAGATGCAAGATTCTCTCTCTGTGTCTCTCCCTCTCTTGGTCACTCTGCCTTTCAAATAAAAATAAATCAATCAAAAAAGAAGGAAAAGGAGGCGAGGGGAAGGGAGGGGAGGAAATACAAAGCCTTCCAAAGAGGCCAGGCAGGGTCAGTCTGCCCTAAGTCACTCCAGACTTCCTGCAGGGCAAGTGACTTTGACTAAGACACAACTTAGCCACTCAACCTCAGTGACACCTAATGAGTAGAGATAATGACATTCGTCCTCCTTATCTCAGGGGACATCTTAAGGATTAGCAAAGGATCGGATGTCATGTCAGGGCACTCAGGCTTCACTGGAAGGAAGCCACTATCTCACTGCATCATTGCCACTCACATTTCTAAGTAGTCTTCTCTGGACACCCGGGGGGGGGGGGGGGGGCTGTGTTCTACCACACCCACGTAAATCAACATCTTTAGAACTTCTAGGCTTCTCCCTTTGGCCTGGCCCAGCCATGGCCATTTTAGGAATTTAGGGAGTAAACCAGCAAACAGGAGATTGATCTCTCTCAGCTCTCCCTTTCAAACAAAATGAATATAAAATGAATATAAATAAATGTTTAAGGCCGGCATTGTAGTGGGTAAAGCCACTGCCTGCAAGGCCGGCAACCCATATGGGCACCGGTTCGAGTCCTAGCTGCTCCACTTCCGATCCAGCTCTCTGCTATGGCCTGGGAAAGCAGTGGAAGATGGCCCAAGTCCTTGGGCCCCTGCACCCACATGGGAGACCAGGAAGAAGCTCCTGGCTCCTGGCTTCAGGTCAATGCAGCTCTGGCCATTGCAGCCATTTGGGGAGTGAACCAGTGGATGGAAGACCTCTCTCTCTCTGCAAATAAATAAATAAATCTTAATAAATAAAGCTGTAGCACACCCACACAGTAAAATGTATTTCAATAGCATGCAAACACAACAGTGGCTGCCTTCTGCGGGGGAGGGAACACTGACTGGGAAGGGGCTCCAAGGAGACTTCTGGGGGCTGGGAAGGCTCTCCGTCTGGATTCCCAGGGCTACACTTGCCCACACACACACACACACACACACACGTGACATTTAAGATCAGCGCACTCGGCTGTGCGTATTTTTAAATACTTTTTAAATTACACTGACAGAGGTTATCAATCATCAATGATTTAAGTTCATCCTCCTGACATGAAAACAATGGATAAAATAGCAAGGCAGAAACAAAATCCTAGTGAGGAAGCAAAGCCCTCAAAGTGCGTTCAACCCCAGTGCCCAGAGCACGCGGGGGCAGAGCACTGCGCGGGTCCCAGCGGGGGAGGACACGCCCCCAGCCTCAGTTTCCCCGTCGGCAACACGGCCGGCTGCGCGGGTGTCGTCGGAGGTTCCCTCCAGGGCAAACCCCGCGCCGCCCGCTGGCATCCGCCAAGGGGTTCCCGGCCGGGAGAAGCCGCGGTGCGGGTCGCTTCGCCGCGCGCGGCCGAGCGCCTCCGTGGGGGCGGCAGGGACCCCTCCCCCAGCGGCGCTGGCTCCAGGCCCGTCCCTCCCTTGCCGCGGGCGGCTCTCCGGGCCCGCGCAGCTCCAGGCAGGCCTCTGCGCCTCACCTCTCCGGAGACAGAGTCCCGCTCCGGCCGCGGCTCCGCGCGCAAAAGCGCCTCCGGGCTCGGTCCGGCCCCTCCGGAGTCACCTCAGCTCAAGCCCGTGGGGCACCGAGAACAATGGACGGGAGAGGCCCGCCCACCGCCGCGCTCATTGGCTGCTGCGAACGGCCCCTAGAAACTCTGCCTTTCTACTGGCGGAGACAGTGCCAAACAGGCGGCGGGAGGGGGGCTGGGCCCGCGGCATTGTGGGAAGTGTAGTCCACCCGGAGCCGAACCCGCGCACTGTCCTGAGGGGCAGAGTGGACGCTCTGGGTAGCCTGGACAGCGCGCGAGGGGCAGAGGCAGGGGAATCCGGGGGCTGAGCGTGAGGCCTTCGGGCTTGGTCGGAGCCGAGACAGGGCACTTGACGTCTCTAAGCCCTCAGTGTATCTGTCTATAAAAAGTAAAAGCTGGACAGGCGGACTTGAGGGTCCCGTGGCTACTATTCCGAGGGCCCTTGAAAGGAAATGAGTTGGAGCTGGGGACACCCCCAGGCTCGCGGGCCCCTCCCTTCTCCTCCTGTTCTCTACCTCCCTGAGTAGAGAAACCCCACCCGGCACACCTGTTCTTCGTCCCCGTATTAGCGCTAGCCGCCGCAGTGCCGCCTCGTCCGTCTCAGCCCTGGGGTGGCAGGTGCAGGGAGCTGGAGATTGGCTCCTAGCTTGTGTCCCCACGTTTGAGGCCCCAGCTCTGCGTGGGAACAGCTGAGACACGGTTTACAAAACCCAAGTGCCCGGGAAATCGAAGAAGGCAGCGAGCAAGGCGCCCTTTATGGTCTGAGACAGAGCAACCGGGTGCTTGTATGCAGCGATTGGATGCACACACAATTGTGTGTTGTCACACTTATTTGATTTACTTGAAAGACAGAGACAGAGATCTACCATCCCTTGGTTGGGCCCCAACGACAGCAGGGCTGCGCCTGGGCAAAGCCAGGATCCAGGAATTTAGTCCTGGTCTCACACATGGCGGGCAGGGACCCAAGCACTTGAGCCATCTTCTACTGCTTTCCCAGGCGCATTAGCAGGGAGCTGGATTGGAAGTGGAGCAGCCGGGACTTGAACCAGTGCTCATTTGGGATGCAGGCACCGAAGGCAGCGGCTTAGCCCTTGCGCCACAGGCCCCTTTCTTCATTTTTAAATCAAATTTATTTTTAAGGATCCATTGAACATTAAGAAAACTATCCTGAGGCATGCGTTGTGGCACAGTGGGGCTAAGCGAGTTAAGCATCCTCTCACAGCTCCGGTTCGAGTCCCGCTTCCTGCTCATGCACCTGGGAAGGCCGCCATTGATGACCCAAGTGCTTGGCCCCCTGCACCCACATGGGAGACCAGGACGAAGTTCCTGACTCCTGGCTTCAGCCTGGCCCAGCCTCAGCTGTTGCAGGCATTTCAGCAGGAACCAGCAAATGGAAGATCTCTCTCTCCCTCTGTCACTCTGCCTTTCAAGTAATGCATTTAAAAAAATTTTTTTAATGAAGAAAGAACTGTCCCTTTGTCACAGCATTTGCTATTATTTCCCTCGGTTGTTTTCCGTCTACTGGCTTATTAAATCACAGACATTTGACATTTTAAAAAAATATTTATTTACTTAAAAGAAACAGAGACAGAAAAAGAGAAGGAAAAGGCAGGGGGAGAGAGAGAGAGAGAGAGAGAGAGAGAGAGAGAGAGAGAGAGAGAGATATTGAGTGATCTTCAATCCACTGATTCAGGCCTCAAAAAACCACAACAGCTGGGTCGGGGCCAGGCCAAAGCCAGGTCTCCCACATAGGCGGCAGGGGCCCAAGCACTTGGGCCATCTCCCACTGCCCTCTCAGTCTCATTAGCAGGAAGCTGGCTTGGTAGCAGAGCAGCCAGGCCTCAGATCAGCACTCTGATGACAGCTTAACACCGCTGTGCCATAATACTGGCCCCTAAATTTGACATTTTTATGTGATCAAATTTGCTAATCTTGTTATGGCTTCTGAAATTTGTGCCAGAAAGTCCTCTATAGTACTCGAAAGAGTATTTGAAATTCACCTGTTTCTCACTAATTAACCTCTTTAATCCAAGAATAAACTGACAAAGTGACATCAGATTTGGCTAACAGGTGATAGCGTGTGAATTTGTTAGCTCAACAGCGCCACCTCCAGGCCGTCCTGGGAAGTGTGCACTAAGCGCCCGGACGCAGCACTCCGAGCCCCCACCTAAGACAGGGAGTTGTGCAGCGTGACTGAGGGTGCTGATTTGTGGGGAGGACCTCGTATTTTCAGATGCTTGCTTCTCCACTGGTCCTTCCTCTGCAGAAATGGACATTTATACAAAAAGGAGAAGAATGCAGGGCCGAGAGGTACGGCAGGGCGGAAACTTCCCAGCAGCCAAGAGTCCTCTCTCCTCTGCTCTAATCCCAGTCAACCTTGACCACCAGGATGGGTCCTAGCTTGTCACAGGCGCTCCCCAGAGCCAGCCGCCTCTGCCCGCGGTGCCTGACTCTCCGGGATACCAGTCCTGGCCAATGCCAACGTGAGACAGAGGGCAAGTCACATTAAAGATCAATTCATGGCCGGCGCTGCGGCTCACTAGGCTAATCCTCCGCCTAGCGGCGCCGGCACACCGGGTTCTAGTCCCGGGCGGGGCGCCGGATTCTGTCCCGGTTGCCCCTCTTCCAGGCCAGCTCTCTGCTGTGGCCAGGGAGTGCAGTGGAGGATGGCCCAGGTGCTTGGGCCCTGCACCCCATGGGAGACCAGGAAAAGCACCTGGCTCCTGGCTCCTGCCATCGGATCAGCGCGGTGCGCCGGCAGCGGCGGCCATTGGAGGGTGAACCAACGGCAAAAGGAAGACCTTTCTCTCTGTCTCTCTTTCTCTCTCACTGTCCACTCTGCCTGTAAAAAAAAAAAAAAAATCAATTCATGCCACCCCAGTCCCGGACAGGGAGGCGAAACTGGAACCAGCCAAGTCCAACGGGGCTCCACCCACTCCTCCCTTTCTCAGAAAACTTCTCTGGCTGACACTCACAGGGCAGACAGGAGCTGGGGGATCAGACTTGGAGGCAGTAGAGGACAGGGCGAGTCCCCGGGAACCCCTGTTTCCCTGCCTGCCGCGCGTGCTCACCTCGTGATGCGCAGAGTGAGAGGTGCCTGGAGCTGGCCCTAAACTCTCCTTACAGTACCTGGGCACAATCCATGTGGCCAGAGGGGAGCGGGTGGGGGGAGGCTCCTCTGGCCGTCCCTAGGTGTGGGTCACTGAACCTGATTGGGAAAAGTGCAGGTAAGTGGACGGTGGTGCAGGGAAGCTTAGCAAAATTCAGCCGAGGGAGGAGTCACTGAAGAGTTGTGAAATTAAGCCTCAGGTGACCCATGACCTTGTCAGGAGAATTGTTAGAGCAGTGCTTTATATATATATATATATGAAAGGAATTTTTTTTGTCTCTCCATGCTAGCATCTTTCTCTGCTTCTTATTAACAGTTTGTATTTGCTGTGACAGACGGAGGGCTGTGGATCTTGTGCTGCCCCCAGGTCAGGGCAGGGAGAGGGAGCTGCTGGCTTTTCTCTGGCTTGTCCTGTGCTGGCCTGGGCTTCTCCGGGACTGGACACCCCAGGCCCTGTTCCAGCGCTTCATGCCCAGAGGAGGGAGGAGACTGGCTCTCAGCCACCAGCCAGTTCCCATGCCCTGCTCTGAACGGCTCTATTCAAGTGCATCGTGGGAAGACACAGGGTGCTCTGACTGCACAGCCAGACTTGGAGGCGGCCCCAGGGTGGGGTACGCCCGGCCAAGACACCGAGGCAAGAGGGGTGCCAGGGGAGGATCCTGCAGGCTTCCGTAAAAGCAGTGCCCTTGGCAAGTGAAAGTGACTTCAAGGGGCCGGCGCTGTGGCGCAGCAGGTTAACGCCCTGGCCTGCAGTGCTGGCATCCCATTTGGGCGGCAGTTCGGGACCCAGCTGTTCCTCTTCCAATCCAGCTCTCTGCTGTGTCCTGGGAAAGCAGTAGAAGATGGCCCAAGTCCTTGGGCCCCTGCACCCACGTGGGAGACCTGGAAGAAGCTCCTGGTGCCTGGCTTCAGATCGGCTCAGCTCCGGCTGTGCGACCATCTGGGGAGTGAACAGCAGATGGAAGACCTCTCTCTCTCTGTGTCTCTACCTCTCTCTGTAACTCTGTCTTTCAAATAAATAAAATAAATCTTAAACAAAAAGTGACTTCAAGACAAGTTCCCTTAACTAGCTTGTTAAACCATGGGGACGGCGTAAGCTACTCCTATTTCAAATACCGAAGCCACGAACTGCGAGATACACAGAGCACACGGCCCAGGGGTGCTGCAGCGACCTCAGGGAATAGTTTGGTGCTAAACACTGTTATGGCTCTACTACTGTACACACACACACGCACTAGCAACCTGAATTGCTTTATACTTTAAAACTAGTGCAATGAAAAATCAGGAATAAAAATAAAAGTAAATTCAAACCTAAAACAAATTACCAGAGCTGGCGCTGTGGCACAGTGGGTTAAGCTGCCACCTGTAATAACGACATCCAGTATCTGAGCACCAGTTTAAGCCCTGGCTGCTCCACTTCTAAGCCAGCTCCCTGCTGATGCACATGAGAAGGCAGCAGAGGATGGCCCACTCATGTGGGAGGCCCCAGTGGGGTTTCTGGCTCCTGGCTTCAGCCTGGCCCAACCTTGGCTGTTGTGGCCATTTGGAAAGTAAACCAGAGGATTAAAGATATCTTTCTCTCTTTCTCTCTCTCTCTCTCTCTCTCTCTCTCTCTCTCTCTTATCTCTCTCTCTCTCTGTTACTCTGCCTTTCAAAAAACTAATAAAAAAATCTTTAAAAAAAGTTAAATGATCAAATGGGGAAAATATGTACATGGGACAAAGGTGTCGCTCCCCGTCTTCGTGGAGGAACGACACAGGACCCTGCGCTGTTCTTTCGTCTGCTCGGCCCTCCCCGGGTTTGCTGCTGGTTCTTCCCGGGTTGGCTACCGACCCTTCCACCTCCGTGGAAGGGTGGTTCCCCCTGCCACATTCCCCACTTCCGCGGGGGAGCGGCACACTGCCGGCCGGCTCTCTCGGGGGCTGCACAGGTGTTCCTCAGGTGTTCCCCCTAGATGTTCCTGGTGCATGCCGTCTCTCTCCTCGTTTA